GGGTCGCGAAAAAATCCCAGTGATAAAAAAGTGTCGTGACTAAAAAAAAGTTTTTAAGAAGCCCTGTTTTAGACCAATCAATTTTCAGACGCGAGCCCCCCCCTTTTTTTCCCTGTTTTGTTTCTCAGCCGAATTATGTTTCTGTGGGAATTTTTCTATATTTTTATCGTTTCAACTGAATGGAAAAACACGCTAAAATGTTTCAAATGACTATTAGGGGAAGAGGATCAAATACCCCACATTATTATTATTATCTCTATTTATCTCGTGTTTCAATTCCGAGTTGAATTATGTTTTCTGATAGAAGTTTTCCATATTACATATTCGAGTAAGGCCGCAGTGGCTGGCGCATCACGCAGAAGCACCACAGGTCCGGGGTTCGATTCCCGGGCTGGGCAAGGTCGAATAGCCTTTTATCCCTTGATTTCCATCACTTGGGTCTATAAAATGAGTACCAAGTTCTCTTGGAGACTAAACACTGGGAATCCTGCGACAAGCTGACCACTTGTTCAGAGCATCTGCTTACGCACCACGGGGCCCACGGTCAAGAAAGCAGATTTCGGGCACTGCAGCCCTTGGCCCATTAGGGCTGTTACACCACTGACTTTAGTTTAGTACATATTTGAGTTCAACAAAAAATCAACTTTCAAAATATTGAGGAAGAGCATGCACTAAAATGTTTCAAAATGAAAATGTGGGATAAATAAATACGTAAATTAGTTTTTTCTAGGATTGTAGGAGTTCTTATATATATATATAATATATATATATATATATATATAATGTCATAATAAGCAAAGGAAAAGTCGGAGCAGTGTCGATGCGTGATTAGACCCATATTGAAGAAGAATTTTGATTGCGTAGTATTTAAAGAACTTGGCATTCGAGGCAGTTTTAATTCCATTTTTATTTCCAATTCATATTTGTGGCCACAATCACTTGGCACTCTAGTCGTGCCTTTCCACAGAAGATTTACATTTTTGATATTGTTGAGATAGAAAGCAAGCCAGCGAAGTTACATCTTAGCAAAGTAGAGGGCAAAAGCTGAAGTGCGTAGTTATGAAAGACGAAAGCACGCGAAGAGAAAAGTTTTGGTTTACAATTCGGTGATTGGTCGTCAAGAGGCATCTGGTATTAACGGTTACGTAAGATCGCATGATTAATTTGAATGACGCAATGCAGATAAGTTATTACGATTTTAGAATAGAGAGGAAGATAATCTTTATAGTTATATTATAATTCTGATTTATACATTTTTATCTTACATATATATATATAATAAAGAAATTTAGAACCAACTTTTCACAAAGACTAAAAAATCGAAATTCAAATGAACTTCATAAAGTCTGATGAAACTTCATAAAACTGATGTTACGACATTTTAGAATTAAATGTTTTCCATCTTTGGCAAGCAGTAGGAGGGCGCGAAATCTTCAGTTGTCCCTGGGCGCTGAAAACCCTAGCTACGACTCTGGTCCTGAATAATTTTATTTTTGTTTCTGTATCACTTTATTATTATTTTTATACTAAACTTGTGGGAATGTTGCCTATGACTGCCCTATTTGCCTTTATAGCACCTTATACTGTAAGATGTTTTAAGAGCTGACAAAGAACTTTTTAGCAGATTTTGAAGTCACCAGCTTGTCCCCAACTGTTTACAGTAGTGATACTATGATATTCTTTTAAATTCGTTTTTTTAGTAACTTACTTTATACCAAAAATTATTCTGCCCGTTGAAAAATTCGTTGATATTAAACTGTTTCGAGGGAGATTGAAATTGGAGTTCGAATCCTGGGTGCTAATATCGCTTTCCGTAGGGCAGGTTTTTAAAGATCATGAATGATAAAATATGCGAAAGGTAAATAAAATCATTTCACTAATATTTTCAAATTAAAAAAAAAAAAAAACCACAAGTGCTCGAAAACAAATGCGAGCCATTTTACTTATTATTAGCCCAAAATGGCAATTTGCCCAGAAGGGCTATTAATTTCATTTTGGCATTTTGCATTGGTTCACTGCAAGCGGCATTTCACTTTTCAAATTGTTGCCACCAAATATTAAGCCCTGCATTACATTTAAAGAAATTAAATACTGTAAAATCTACAGTAATGTATGTTTCTCGCACTTAGAAAAGGCAACGGTACCTAGAGACAGCAAATTTTGAATAACATAGTCCTCCACTTGAATATGGGCATCTGGAAGCCCGAATTTGGAAAATTTTTTATCTATCTCCTATTTTGTAAAACTTTAACGAATTTTTGATTAACCAACTGAACGATTTCAAAGCCAGTAATGGCAACACTGTAAAAAAAGGGTTTTATCTCCAGCGCGAGAGAGACCGGGTATCGGAAATTCTAATGATATGTTCCTTTTAAATTATTTTGTGATATTGCTGTTGAATTGAATTTTATGGTTTAAGTGCGACGAACATGATATCCAATAAATAAAAAGTAACACGCAAAACGTAAAAAAAAAAAAAAAAAAAAAAAAAAAAAAAAAAAAACCCACTTTGGGCGCAATATAAAATTTGATAGAAAGCTTCCAGATTTTCTTGTTTATTACAATTTATATGATACTTATGTAAAGTACACTGCGAAAAAGAAAAGGTACAACTCTGATATACGCCCTAATTTCATCAAATGTGGCGATATGTGTTCTGCGCTGGTTTTTAGCGAGATTGCGTGTTCTATGGTTACCCTGTTGACGTTGAACAATCTTTCGCTGGAGCTCGTTGATTCGCGTCTGTGTCTGAGAAGATGGGAGGGAAAGATAAAATGGTAGACGTTGTTGAATTGAAGTTCGGCAAAAGGAAATATTATTGTGGCCCTCCTGTTGAGGGGTAGCGGGTATTTGGAGGTGTGGAAAGAAGGGTCTGGGAGATTATTTTTAATGGCTATGCATGACAGAAGTAGGGATTTGTGATTTTTTTTGTTTGTGAACCATAGTATGAATTTTCTGGAGTGTGTCTAACTGTCATGTAAATACGATAGTGGTGGCATTTACGTGGCGGTATGAAATTGGTATTTCTGCTGCTCGAAAAAGCATTAATTTATGGTAAGTGCTTTTATTTTAATTCTTGTTCTTATTTTGTAGAATGTTATGTTCATTGGTTATTTAGTATGATTTCTGTCGTTATTGTTGTTTTGAAACAGAACGCTGTGTACATGGTATTATTTGAAATTTATTGTTATTATGTTATTTTATAAAAGCGACGTGGTTGTAGTTCGTAGATTTGTTCGTTGCCTAAATTGTGCAATTCGTAGATGTTTAAGTTTAAACAAGATGCGTGTACATGGTATTCTTTGAATTTATTGTTATGTTAATTTATTAAAGCGAGGTGTGTAGTTCGTAGATTCGTCCTTGCCTAATAGTGCAATTCGTAGATGTTTTTTTTAAGTTTAAACAGGATGCTGTGTACATGGATTCTTGTCAATATTTTTGGTTAGAACTTTACGTTTTTGGCTATCTAATTTTTGTTTTTTTTTCAGATTTTTAGCTTAAATCGTGTGTTTTTCAAAGCGTAGTTTTTTGCATGTGCGAAAACTGCGCCTTTGGGACATTTTAGGCTTAAAGTTTGAAATATAGACAAAAAATTTAGATAGTAATATAGCAGCATGAAGTTTCTCGCCAGAAATGTTTGGCGACTTGAGGGCGCATATCAGAGTAGTTCCAAAAAAAAAAAAAAAAAAAAAAAAAAAAAAAAAAAAGGGACAGTTCTACATCTTTTTTTCTATTGGACCGATTGACGAAATTCAACTTGCGTTTTTCATGTCTCGTAAGCGCAACTTAGGATATATATGAGATTTAAATATAGCATTGTTCTAATATAAGTATTTTGACACATGCCAATTGTTTTTCATATTTCGATTCTACGACTCAAAATAACCAAACTGTTAAGTTTTGTAAAAATCGCAGTAGCTTTCATAAAAATTAGCTCTCAAAATTTTAGCTCCTCAATGTTAATTGAATTTGGTGTATACTTATTCTCTCTTTTTTTTATTAAACTTTATTGATTCTTCCTTTCACATTTCGAAATTTAAGCTCATTTCAAATAAAATTTGCCCATTTTTTTATGATTTATTTTTTTAATTTATATTTTAAAATAATTTTTGTAAATTTTTCGAAAAGCATTATGAATTATAATCTATATAAATGCTTACTATAATCTATATAAATGTTTACTATAATCATGTAGATGTATTTCTAAGCATATCTGCAAAAAATCCGAGTATTTTTTATTCACAATTTCCAAAAATATACGTGAATTTATATATTGGCGCGTTTTGAAATTCTCCGTAAATTTCTCACCAAATGTTACAAAATTTATTATTTAGACAAAATTCGCGTCGTTGACTCGAAATATGGAAAACAATTGGCATGCAATTTCAGAAAAAGTCCGATTTTGCGTAAAAATACCTATATTAGAACAATGCTATATATAAATCTAATAGATATCCTAAGTCACGCCTTCGAGACATGACAAACGCAACTTGAATTTCGTCAATCGGCCCAGTACAACGGCAGATATAGAATTATCCTCCCAAATAGATTATTAAATAAAAAAAAAAAATAACGGGCAGAAAATTACATTCCCATTCTCGTCCGCTTGAGGGCGTTATCTTCGGTTTTGAATTACAACGTTAACAAGGTATCGTCTGCGAAATTTGGCGCGAAATTCTGTTAAGATAGTTTGGTTTTTATTAATGCACGAAATTTGAAAGGAGATGAAAATTATGATATTTTCGTAAATTATATTTGCAAAAGGAGAATATAGGTCAGAATAATATAATTGCATTTAATATCAAAATCCATACGATAAAATTTTATGTTACACAATTTAACTATTCATAATATCATAATTAAGGCTATTTAGTTAACACTTTTTAATTATTAAAATGATTTGTGTGAGTGCATTTAAATTATTCAACTCGACTTTTGTCATTATCAGCTAAATACTTTGGACTTGAAGTTTTGAAAGATGCTTATCAACATAATGATAAGAACTGCATTACAAGATGTGGTCAAGGGCTTGATAAGGCCTTTTGTAAAGTTAGAATTCTTGCAAGTGGTCGCTGGTTCAACTCTACAATACTGTCCGCATTCATTATTCACAATGCCTGCAGTTGGAAATATTTTGTCTGGAAGGGAGATTTCCAAGTATGCATTTTTTATTTAATTTCGATTTTTTTCAATTATCTGAAAATGTACGAAATTTTGTTCTAAGGGAGTAAAAATCAGTGTAGATTTGCGAGGAAACTGCAATTCATGGCCGTGCATCTTGCTATATTCCGGTAGAATGTAACACATTTCATTCAAACTTTTATGATGGTTTTTAATTCTTTGCTAAACATATTCACGGAAAGTACCAGTATCTTAATTTTTTATTTAATATAAGAGGCAGAATTTGACTTTTTTATTTTTTATACATTATTAAATAAGAACGAGCATTTTACATTTTATGTTAGTTTCGTCAATTAAATGTGCTGTATAATCTGCTATCAGTATTTAATTTTCTTCAGGCATAAAAGCAACAAATTAATGTCGATATCCAAGGAATCAAATTATGCGATTTTTTTCTGGCATAAAATTTTCTCATTTTGTATGTATTTCAATTTACTAGAATGTCAAATACTTTCAGTTAACTTGAATAATTTTTAAAGATTACTGCTTTGTAAAGTATAAAACTTGAGCTGGTTTTTAGTACTTTGTAGTCTTAAGCTGTTTATTTTATTCTTAGCCCTGACAATATAAATCATGTTCTTATTAGAAATTTTTTATTTTTGTAATAAAAGGGATAGAAATATGCACAAGTACAATTTATATGCGACATAATAAACACTGGAAATGCACAGCAGGAGAAATAGAGATACTATAACTATTCTTGAATAATATTCAGAATAATATAAATAGCTTAAATTTTTTTTTTTACACTCTATGGTTAAAATTCCTTTACATTAAATATTTCACTATCCTACAGAAAAATCTTGTTTAGTGTGATTGATACTCGGAAACTACAAATTTCAAATACAACATGTACAACAGAAGTAAATATAATTTGGGTTGATTCCTAGCAGAGCCCTCACCCTTGACACGCCCACTTATATGGCACGTATCAGTGTCTACATGGACAAAGTCAAGGGAGTGTGCAATGCCAAATTTGTGCAATTCTGGAATTTTTTTCTAAGTGAAAATAGGTTGATGTGTACATGGATACTGAGTTTGTGCAATTTTTTTACATGTTATTTTCAAGTTGGCGATTTTGAGAAACATGCAAAGCAGTGGATGATTCTGCACTTTCCCAGTGTGTTGCCAAGGGTGTGGAATCTCCTACGAGATTACCATAATTTGTCTGTTAGTGGAAATTTTGAAAAAGCTAAAATATACATTAGTAATAAAAATCTTTCATAGGAGAATCTTCGGATTATGGTAACTTGTCGATTTTTTGGCAAAAATTTGGCGACCAACCCTGCTACAGCAACTTGCTAGTTTTTTTTTTGACGCCATTTTGTTTTCACGAAGTAAAGGCATGGTTTTTTTTTTTTTTTTTTTTAACTCAACATTTTTTACAACAATCTGCTAGCCGAATTACGCTTATGCTAGAACTTTTATGGAACAAAAGTGTTTTATCATGACGAAGATTAGGTGTGAAATTGGGAGAAAGTGCAGAATCGCCCACTGCTTGCCGCGTTTTTAAGAACTGCACATACACGGTATCCATGTACACGTCGACCTATTTTCACTTAAAAAAAAATTCCAGAATTACACAAAAATGGCATTGCTCCCACTCTTGACTTTATCCATGTACACATCGACCTATTTTCACTTAAAAAGTCAAAGTAAATTGACAAAAATCCAATTCTTCTTACTCTTGTAAAAAGCAGAAACAAATAAATGGGCTATTCTGCACTTTAGCAGCGAAATTGTTTCCGAGTGCTTATTAGCTAAAATCACAAATGGAATTTTCCGGAAAATGTCGCATTACATGTCTCATGACCTCTCATTTCTCCGAGACAAAATAATCTGTGATTCGAACTGTGTACTTCTCAGATTATTGCCAAAATGTCGCCAAACTACCTGTTACCATATTCCAAAAATTAGCCCTTTCATCTTTTATTTCATATCTACATACTTGATTTAGCAAATAAATCAAATTATTGCAAAGAAATGTGCAATTATTTCTTTAAAGAAATTAAGGTACTCTTATGTTATCGTGACTGGATTAAGAAATATATGTACCTGTACACGTGTGTATGTGTGTATGCACACATATAAATGTATGTATGTATACATGCATATATGGGCACATCCATCCATACATTTTTTGAATCCGTTCCCAGTAACAGAAGAGTACCAAAATTAAATTATCTTTGAAATAGTGCAGTGGTTTTTAACCATTTTTCCACCATGCATTACTTTCACCATTGCGAGATGATCGTTTGCCCCTCTCCTCTCATTTTTAAAACTTGAAAAATACATATACATTTATTTAGATTATATTTTAGTGTGTTTTATAAATTAACAAATGCCAAAACTTAAATAAAAGGCCGTCAGTGTAATTAAATCCTTGAAACTTTATTCCTTAGCAGGATCAGCACCAAATCTTCATTAGAGGCTCATTGTAGATGAAAACTGCTGCATTGGCTAACTTAAGAAATTATTTGTGTAGTTTTAGTTTATAGCTTACGTCAGTGGTCTCCAATTCAAATTGCATACAGGTCATGCACATTCTGAAAGCAGCTGATGAGCTGAATTTTTTTAAAGAAATGAGAATGAATTTATATATACATATGAGTGTGTATATGTATGTCCCTAATGTATAGATATCTCTTTATTTTACACACAATGTTACTTGTAATGTGCAAGTTTATGACATTTTTGAAAATTAAATTTTCCTTGAACATGGCTTATTTGAAAATTTATTTCAACAATATTCGGTTGTATTTTTTACAATGTTTTTCTCTACATTTATTTATTATTCTCAAACTTATAATTTCTCCTTCTCTCCCTGGCTAAAATTAAGAGTTCTTCGATTCAGTTAAATTCTATTTTCTTTGGGTGCCCAATCCCTTACACATATTTATTGAAACATAGATGTTTGTTTTCTGTCTGAATTCAAAATGTTAGTACCTGCAAGAAATTTTCTTAGGTTACACTTAGCAGTTCAAATGCTCTGAAAATTTAATATTTAATTTTCAAATGGCATTTCTTTCAAATAGTTCTAATATTAATTCAGAAGTCAAACAACAAAAATCAGCGTTATATTTACAAAATTTTCAATGTCCTGTAAAATTTTCAAAAATGTCCTGTGAAAATTTTATAAATATAACGCTGATTTTTGTTGTTTGACTTCTGAATTAGTATTTATTCGGCGTGTTATTGTGTCTTAGTTCTAATACATTGAACTAACCACTAAATGATTTAAGTTATGCAAAATAAACAAATATTATGAAAACTTTAAATTTCCAGAGAAGACATTTGAAGTGGACAAAATTTGAGAGCAAATAATGACAATTAGTGATGGGCAACTTCGGTACTTTCTTGTGCCCGGTACGAGAGTAACGGGTACAGACAAGTACCCCGTACAAAATACCCATTACTCAAGTAACCGTTACTTTGAAAAGTACCGAAAACCGATTTCAAGTACCGAGTACCCAAGTAACGATTTGGAGACCGAAGAGTACCGAGTACCAAGTACCCTAGTAATAAGACCCTAGTAAGGAGTACCCTAGTGCCCTAGTAACGATTTGGAGTACCGAAATACGCAGCTAACGATTTTTGCGCACTGAAGGAACTCCACCCACGTGTTTGATTTATCTGTACGGAGTAAGATTTTGAATATCAGAAAACATGTCAACTACGGAAGTGTCTGAGGAGCAGGCCATTCATGGACACAAGGAAGCACATATCACCATTTCGCAAATACAACCAGATACTACTGTCCTCGTACCAAAATTGAAGTGAGCTGAAACCGTCATCGATCCTCCAGTAATGAATACTGAAATACGAGAAGAGACACATATTTTCGTTACAAAGTAGCGAATACCGAAAAGTACACGTTTCGGTACAGAATAAGAATACCGAAAAGTACCCGAATACCCCTTTCGGTACAGAAGTAACGAATACCGAAAAGTGCCCGTTTCGGTACAGAAGTAACGAATACCGAAAAGTGCCCGTTTCTGTACAGAAGTAACGAATACCGAAAAGTGCCCGTTTCTGTACAGAAGTAACGAATACCGAAAAGTGCCCGTTTCTGTACAGAAGGAACGAATACCGAAAAGTACCCATTTCGGTACAGAAGTAATGGGTACTTGGATGTACCGATTTTCAGTACCCATTACAACTAAGTACCCGTTACAAAATATCCGGTTCGGTAGTACCGACTTATCACTAATGACAATCCCCTTTCTGGGATGAATCGCTGAAAATTTCGCAATTCTGTTGAAGAGTTTGGAGAAAATGACTTCCATATCATATGGCCGTGCGCTTGTTTAGTTGTTAATTTTGTGAAATTTTATTTTGGTAATACGCAAGCCTGAAAAGTCAATTCTGACTTCTGAATGCATGCCAGCCTTTTCCTGAGAAACAAATCCTTGGAGAGGGTTGAGACTGAAAAGTCCCATTCCCATGTCGACCAGGAAATGCACTGAATATACAGGAGCTTGTTTGAGAACAGGTTATGCGATTGCGCTGGTCATCTTGTATCTGCTGATTCGATGCAGACTGCTTCCGTTTTCTGCAAGAACGAGAGAAGGAACTTGCTGTTTGTGTTTCTAAATTGGCTCAAAGATATAGCAGGCTTAATAAAGTGAAATACTAAGATAAACTGTGTAAAGATAAGAACATTAGCGACTTCTGATGGAAAAGAGCATTTGTTGATAGTAAAAGTATATTTATGGGTGCCCCTTGGCGAAAATTGGCAATTTTTCACAGTACACGGACACTGAGTTTGCGCAATTCTTTGACTTGTCATTTTGTCTTTGTGTAGCGGGACAACTTGTTATTTGTCTTTGTGTCAAAAATCACCGCTACACAAAGCCAAAATAATAAGTCAAAGAATTGCACAAACTCAGTATCCATGTACACATTGATCTATTTTCACTTAAAAAGTCAAAGGAGCAGCCAATTGTACACGAGAGCCAAACAAAAAAATATATAATTTCAATAAATCACATTTTAAATCAAACAATGAAATAACATAAAAATGGAATTCATCTTAACACTACACAAAGGAAATATCCACTTACCTTATTTAGAAATTTCTGTGTCTTCAGTTAAATAAACTTCAATAACAGCATTAAAAAACTTCCTAAAATTATCTGAAAGGCTGGGTGGCACAGTCATTAGTGCATCATGCAGCACCACCACAGGTCTGGGGTTCCATCCCCGGGCTGGACAAGGTCGACTCAGCCTTTCATTCCTTGATTTCCATCCCTTGGGTTGATAAAATGAGTACCAAGTTTGTTTGGGGACTAAACACTGGGGGTCTTGTGACCCCCAAGCTGACCACTTGTTTAGGGCATATGCTTACGCACCCCGGGGTGCACGGTCAAGAAAGCAGATTTCGGGGCACTACTGGCTTTGGCTTACTAGGACTGTTACGCCACTGAGTTTAAAATTATCTAAACTAGAACTGTATACTGGCATCGCCACATAAATTCTCAAAAACAAGAGGAAAAGATATCCTCCATAGTGCCGGTATTCTCCGACCAGACGCATTTCCTTCATACAAACGGGACACTTAAAATGGCTACTAAGTAAACCTTCATTTGTACGCCAGTCAATTAATGCTTTTTTCATTCCAAATTGTATAGAAATTCAAATTAATCTTACCACAATCAGCCATTTTACCATGTAAACCACAAAATAACTAACATACTTCCTAACCATCATCCGACTCACAAACACACTTACAAATCTTTTCCCATCATTCAAATCACACAACCAATTACGTCATAATAGGGTTTTCCTAACATTCAACTATTCAGGTTACCATAAATGAAACAACAACTTGGTGATAATCCAAGATGCAACCTTAAATATACTCTAACCGTGTAGACATTTTGAAATGATATAAACAAAATGGGAAATGAAAATGGGCAAATGGGAACAAACCTTCTGAGCTTAGAGATCAGGATTCAGGAGAAATATTTCACCGTGTCACATTCTGTTTGATAGTTTTATTAGTGTTTAGAGATTGAGGATCATGATCAGAAAGTGTTGGACTCTGTTTTCAAACCTATGCATTTGATTAAAATTTCCTTTAACAGTATAAAAGAGTTTCCATCCTGGAGATATAGCATCCTCTCCATTCTCATTTTAAAGTTGATGCTTTAAAACCATTATATGCTTTTTATTGGTATGCTGAAAAAAAGAATGATTTGATTACTACTGTAATCAAAAGATCTGAATTATCTGTACTGAATGATCTTTTATTATTACTGTAATTATACTACTACTTAAAGGAAGGGAAGGTTTAAATATTATGCATCACTATAGTTGCAATTTTCTGTATTGTCATATGTGAGTATATTTATTTTCAGTACATGATTTAGATGGAAATAAATTAGATTAAAACACTTTTTTTAATCCTGAAACAAAATAAAATTTTCAGCAAAATTCTCTAGTAGTAGTGTTCATTTCATTTAAAGATGAAATGATAATTAATTTTTTGTGAGAAAACTGCATTAATCAATCTGCTAGTTGAAAGAGATTGCATTTAAAGGCAGAATTGACAGTTTCTCTTTCCACTAGCAAAAAGGCACTAATCACCTTGTATTTAAGACTTGATACTATCATTTCTTTTCCCTTTCTTTAAATGCTGCACAAATAGTCCCCAGTTAAGGAACAGCTGTTTTTTGAATCCACATGAAAAAGTTAAAATTCTGATTTTATGGTCATAATTTGGTTCTAAAATAGTTATATTCCAGTTCTATCTTTTTTAGTTCAAGAATGAATAGGTTATCTTTATTGTAGGCAATTAGGTGCTAATATTTGCTGTATGGAAACATTTACTTAACACTGTAGTCTTATTAACTGAACTAAGGCATAAGGTAATTTCTGCAAACAGAACTTTTGGATTCTAAGCAATTATTTTTCTCAGTGGAAAATGACTGACTGATAAAATGTTAATTTAGACTAGTTCTTTTACCTTTTATGCTCTAATAATTGAATTTTCATTATATTACATAGAGCTATCCAGAATGAGTTGCAAGAAGAAGTAATAACTCTGAAAGAAAAGCATCCAGGTTTTGAACCTATGTTGGCCATTGTACAGGTATGTATATTAACAATAAGGACATGTTCAAGAATTGTAAAATAACATTTCAAATGCTTTTATCAGCTTAACTGTTTTAGTTAATTTTCTAATAGGCACTGAATGTTTTCTGAATTACATTCACATCAGTAATCACTTGTCCAAAATACATTAGGCAGCTCATACAGCTGAAATGTTATGACCACTATCACTGTTTTGACTCGAAATTCCAACTTATATATCTGATTTATTTTCACTTCACAAACACACAGAGATAAATGAGACTGTTTACGTGTAGGGTTTAATATAATCAAATGATCCATACATCTTGATGATGAACAACATTCAGTATTTTCTGTAGCATAAATTAAATGCTGCAAAGTTAGAATGGTAATAAATTTTCCTGATCACAACGTTAAAAAAATATATATATAGATGTGCTGCAGATTTATAGATCAAACATAATTGCAAAACAAATAATATCAAACAGGAAATGCTATGCTTAACAGGATGGCAACATCCTGCCACCTTTCATATTGCTGGTCAAATTTGCCGTAAAGCAATACAAAATAAAAGAAAGTGAAATATACATATATATATATAATAGACATAAATTTGTAAGACATGGAATGAAATTGAACTGAGAACTATAAATGTGTGAATATAACATTGAAAAAGTAATAAACACATAAAATGACATTACAATTATGAAACAGTAGAGAGAAAAGTAAATAACAGTTCACAAGTCCATGTGCTTCGCAGCTATTGCTCAGCAACCACCTTTACATCTTACAGTGTTTCACAGGCACTACTTGGCGACCACCTTTACATCTTCCAGAACCTTTTTATCACTAGGTTCTGTTTCTGAGGTAGCCTCAATTTTCTGAGGAACTTCAGTTAATTTGTTGCAGAAGTAAGCTTCAAAGAATAAATGCACTGAAGGGGTTGTATGATTTCACTGTTGCCTAGTTGTTTTGTGACATATTCAATATTATCTTTCCAGGAAACAATTCAGTTATTTGTGCTAAAGGCCAATTTATCCTGTTTGGATTCTTTGATTCAACTAGGATAATTTCTCTTGGAGAAATCATCTTTCTTCATGAAGATGACTTGGAGCATCTTACCAATTCTTCAAATATTATTTATAGAAATGTTTTCATAGATTTAGCCGTAAGATATGAAGGTAACGCACACATTTCAGTAAGTGACGATTAAATCCAAACTAATGGTTTGTTCTATTCCTGAATCTTGAATAAAGTGTGCAGACATAAGAGGTCTTAATTTATTAAGGTTGTCTGACAAATTTGTCAATGGTCATTCGTTTATAGTGGCCTCGCAATCAGTGAGTAAGTCAACATTTCTTCACATGTGACACAGGACTTTTCCAAACACTTTTGAAGAAGTTTCTTGATACAATGAACTATTCTTTCCCAAACCCCACCATATTATAAGGCAGGTGACAGAGGACGGGGACGCCTGGTGTTTAACATAGGTAAACAGGCATGTGTCCCACGCTCTCCCCCTATCTAGGAATAACAACTTCCTGGGGCCCCGTGAGGCTGCCTCGGGAGTTTATAATACAGATCTAAAGATCAATACATGGCCAAACAGGGGCTGAGGATTATTGTTTGACAATGGTTGCGTGACAATAACTTTGTGGGTGTGCATGGCTGTTGGAATAACACAGATACATAAAAATATACAAGAATAGATACATATACAGACAAAAACAAACAAATACTAACAGATACGAACATAAGGATGCATTGATATTAAGATAAATATGAAAAGAGACGCATATGTAAAATACAAGAGTAATAAATACTTTAAAAAAAATAGTGGTTTAAAGGGAGTCATATGTGTATTGCTGGTATCCTTGTGGTTGTAAATGTGCTGTGAGCACTTAAACACAGACATGAAGCAATTAGTACCGGATGTAGAGTTATGGTGCCAGGAGTTAGTGTTAGAGTTCGCTGAAAGTACAGTCTGCACTATTGTTCAAATTTGCAAGAGTTCAGACTACACTAAAGTTTAGTGTACACTGTGGTACTAATAGCACTAAATTTGGAGTTTGGCACAGTCACTAAGTTTTAATGCAATTGCTATAGGTTGGTACAGTCGCTACAGCGCAGACACTATGTTAGGCACAGTAATTTCAGTACACAGTCACAATGGTTGCACAGTTACTATGACTGTAAACAACTTTAAGAGAATTATCTAAGTCACGGTGTAGGTACTGATGTTCACTGATGTGTGCACTTAGTGTGCTTAGGCATAGTCGGAGTAGTAGGTGCATGATGTATACGTGCGGTGTATCATGCATTGCAATAGGTTGGAAGGTTCTGTAGGCATTCGAAGGCACTTTGAGTTGACACAGTTGGTACTCTGCTAGCACACCGGTAAGGTAAGTTCTAAAGAAGATTGACATGTGCACATAAAGTTGAAGGCTTGGTGGTGAGGAGCTTTTGTTTAAAAACTTGTGGGGGTGGCCCCTGAGTGAAAAGCTTTTAAAAAGGTTGGATAGTTGGTAGGGGGGACGAAAAGATGATCGTGTTTAAAGAGTTGCTGGATGGGTCTTGGTCTATTGCGGTGAGCAGATATCTTGGCCCATTGCCCCGATCTGAGTGATAGCTTTGCAGATTTTGGTTATGGCTGGCTTGTGAGTGATGATAAAGCGGTGGTGTGCATCTCTGTTCATGGTTGGACATGGGAGGTGATTGTCTTTTGTCAGCTGGCAGGTGAAAAGATAGTGGTCTGGGTTGCCTGGGGCTCCACAGACGCATATATCTGTTGATGAGATGTTGTGCCTTTGGAAGTAGTAGGCTGGGGAATGGGCCGTGTCCCGTGGTATATCGTGTCAGCGGAGCGAGCGATTGATGAATGTGTCGATTCGTGCTGACTTTTGGGAAGAAATCGTAGGTGCGGCGGCCAGTTGTGCCATGGTTCCATTCCTCCTGCCATTGTTGGAGCCCTTTACTCTGGAGCTGTCCCTTTAGGTAGGAAGGTGGGGCTTGAAGGTGGATCTGCTGTGCATTTGAGTCGGTTACTGCCTGATTGGCTAAACGGTCTGCTGACTCATTGCCTTCGTTGTTGGCAATAAGTGCTTTTATCCACATCAGTATGCAATAAGAGTGGCTAAAATTTCTTAAGTTTTCTCGCATTTAAAAGGTGACCGGGCAAAAAAAGATCCATTCGCTAAATCCATGTGGTGAAGAATTATAGTCTACTAAAATTTAGTTCGGGAGCCACTTGTGGAATCATTACATTTATTTTGGAGCAGGGAACAGTCAAAGTCAACGATGCCCTTGCCAGGATTCAAACTCAGGATTTTGCGATTGGTAGCCGGAAGTGCTATTCAGTTGCAGCACGAAGGCGTGCAGTTTAAGTTGAAGGCCTTTAAATGTTCTTTAAATGGGAGAAGAAACTTCCTTCCATTCAAAGAGCAACTGGGAAGGAAGGAACCAAGTTGCCACATTTTATCCACATCAGCGTCGTGTGCATATGTGAATTTTGCTGCAAGAGGTGCTGAAGGGCGATGACTAGTGGGGATCTGTGCTAATGGTTCTGGAGGGCTTGAAGTGTTGAGTAGCTGTCTGTATGAAGTGTGGTATGAGTTAGATCATTATGGACAATGTACTGCATTGCTGCTGTGATGGCCAGGACCTCCGCTTGGAAGATGCTGTTGTGATTTTGCAAACAACCTTTCCATTCTTGTTCTATCAGGCCATCCTGGTAGTGGATGTAGGCACTGCCTACACCTTCCTCCTGTTTAGAACCATCTGTAAAGATGTGGGTACCTTGTGAAGGTACTTGCATTCCAGTGTTGGTAGGGGTGCGTGGGATGATGATGACAGAAATTCCTTTGCCTTTAATTGCCGGGTGTGTGTGGAGAGGGTGTCCAGGTGTTTCAAACTGGACTGGGCTGTAGGTGCTATTGTAGAATGTGACGTCTTTTCTTAAGTATACTAGAGTTGTATATGCCGCTTCCATTTCTACTTTGATGTGGAGAGGCAGCAACCCCGCAAGGACAGTCACCGCACTTGTTGCAGTTGTGCGAAAGGCTTTTGTGAGGTTGAGGGCGAAAGGGCGTTGGACGGTAGTCAGTAATTTGATTTTACAAGCGCCCATTGGGTGGGCCTAAGCAGCGGCAGCGTACGTGGCGATCTTCTCTGCCACAGTGTGATATAGGATCTTCTGTATATGATGGTTCTGCCCCCCAATTTCGCCCTTGAAAGGTGCGTACCTTCCTTGCAATGGTGATAGTCTTCTTTCTGATGTCTTGAATGTGCGGGAGCCACGTGAGTCCTTGATCCCAGAGAAGGCCTAGATGTTTAAGAGTTTAGACTATCTTAATATTTCGATTGTGCAATTTGATACAAGGGCAGCGTGATGGATTTGTACCTGCCCTAGGGATGACAAGGGCCATGGATTTCTCAGTGGAAATTTTGAGTTTTAATGCAGTGCACATGTTTTCGAATATGGTACATGTTGCAGTCCCATTTCTTTCTAATTCCTTCCGTGTGCGTCCCTTGACCAGCAGAGCGACGTCGTCTGCGTAAGCAACAACTGTAGTATGCTGTGGCCAGTCAGTCAGCTTCCAGCACAGAATTGAAAGTTAGGTTCCAGAGAACCGGTCCGGCGCAGGAGCCCTGGGGGCATCCTCGCTCCTGGCTTTTGGTGGTTGTGCCGTTGTCGTTGGAAATTAAAAAGCTTCGGTTCTCCAAATAGCTATTAAAGGTGTTAAAGATATTTGCTGGGCAGCGTGCTATTCTGAGGGCTTGTTTTATAGCAGGCCACCAGAGGGTGTCGAACGCGCTCTGCAGGTCCCGTATAGATAGTTGTTGTCCCGCATAGTACAGAGGGCATGTGCGGTGGAGAGACGTGGTCGGAATCCGTGCTGTCTTGAGCTGAGGAAGTGCAGGATAGGAAGCCGTTGGACAAGTAGCAGATAAAAGGGGGTCGATAAGAGCGCAAATCTTGTGCGCTTTTATTTTTCTTTAAAAAGAGAACTACTTGTCCTT